TCATATATTGTTTTTACGGAAATAGATAATAGTGTAGACAGAGTAATGCCTGTAAGCGTTGCTTGTATAGTACTCCGTGACAAATCCAATAATCAGCCCGGCCCACAAACCAACAGCAACACACAGGAACAATTGCCTGGAAAAACGAATACAAAGTTTTACTCGAGAGTCATAAGATGTGCTTTAGATGCTTCAAATCATATTCACGAATACAGGAAACAATGGCTTCAAGCTCACACAAATCAGATGAAAATAATCCATCAACTTATTAAACTCACCAGCTCTTAACTTCTTTCTGCACTCCGAAATTAAATATCGTGAAAGATGAGGGAAGAGCAATCCAACTAACAACGGCAATTCCAACAGTCATCAGAATTGTTGAGATAATGAGCTGCTTTTTTAATGCAGGCTCAATTTCTTTGACGGCCTTAACCTCAAAGAAATCAGTCGCAAACAAAGTGGTCAGAAGACAAACGAGGATACCAGCCGAGCTGACCAGAAGAGGATACAGCATTGCAGTCAAGTCATGATTGATCCCAAATGATGAGATGGAAGCAACAACAAGGGCTGCACATGAAGATTCTGCGTATGAGCCAAAGAGATCAGATCCCATACCCGCAATATCTCCAACATTATCGCCAACATTATCTGCAATAACCTGTAACAAATTTTTTGAAAAAAAAAAAAGGTTATTTTATTAAATCCAAGAATATCTGAGTATTTAGTGATATAGCCATACCGCAGGGTTCCTAGGGTCATCTTCCGGAATGTTCCTTTCCACCTTGCCGACAAGATCAGCCCCTACATCAGCAGCTTTCGTGTAAATACCTCCACCAACTCTTCCGAAAAGAGCCATTGAAGAGCCTCCAAGCCCATAACCAGTTATGGCCTCAAACAGGCCTTCCCAATCATCGCCATAGTAGATCTTGAAGAGATTTATAGCAATGTATAGAACAAGAAGGCCGTTTGCGGCAAGAAGGAAACCCATAACAGCACCCGACCTGAAAGCAACAATGAAAGCCTTCCCAACACCCTTCCTGGCCTCTAGAGTGGTCCGAGCATTCGCATATGTGGCGATTTTCATCCCGAGAAATCCAGACACAACGGATGTGACAGCGCCCAGAAGGAAAGATACAGTGCTGAAAATGGCTGTGGCAAGAGCAGGCTTGCACATTTTCGTGCTGTCATATGTGCAGGGCTGATGACTGGTGCTGAATCCTTGCACTGACCCGAGGAAGAGGAAGATTAACATGGCGAAAGCAACCATGAAGATGCCAACGTACTGGTATTCGGTGAAGAGAAATGATGTTGCGCCTGTAGCATTCAGGATCTGGTTACCAAAAATCTCGGTGATAGTTTAAGGCGAATAAATAAAAGTTGCATTTTTTCTTATTCTCTTTCGTTGCTAGGAAAGAAAAAGTGTTGTGATTGCATGACACAGAAAATGTAGAGCCTTTTCATCTCAAAATTTGACTTTAGAGAAAAGTAAATAAATAAACAAAGAAGACACAAAAAGAAACAAGAACACACAACACATACACACACACAGAGTCATAATTTATACCAGTTGATATCATATGCTTGTGTTGCCAATGGTTATCTTCTGCAAATTATGGCTTTTAGTAACTAGTATCGGCAAAAATGCTATATCCTTTGAGTCATAATCTATACCAGATGATATTCTTTTAGTAACTAGTATCGGCAAAAATGCTAGTATGGGCCAGGTCCAAACTCAACATCGCCTCCAAACAAAACAAAACCACAACCTGAGCATAGGTTCTCAGTGCTCTAGTACCATGATATATGGGTCGAAGTAGAACTCATCCTCAAAGGGAGAGGATGTTCAACCCACACTTATACACAATAACAGCTCAATAACTAATCGAATCATTGGATTCTTCTGCAACAAATTCTATGTTATCTTAAGGGTGTTCCTGGGCATGGTTTATTTTAAGGCTCTCATAGTCACTCCAGAGTGGAATTTACAATGGTTCAAATTCTGCGGGCTGCAAAGATGAAGATAGATGATTTCTCCGCTGGGGGGAAATTGAGTTTCTTGACGAAGTAAGAAAAAAAGGGTAGTTTCTACATCTATTGTCGAAGCCGAATATTGGGCCAAGGCGGATGCAATTCATGAGATTGTGTGGATGCCTCAAGTGTTGAAAGAGATCAAATTTGAGCGCTCTCTCCCAACAAAGCTTTGGCCTTCATGTTGCAGTGAACCCCGCATTTCACGAACAAGCTAAACGCATTGAAGTTGACTGACATTTTTTTTGTGACAAAATAGAAGAACGGTTCGTCACCACAAAGCATGCCAATTCAGAAGCTCAACTAGGACACATATTTACGAAGGTAGTACAAATTAATAACATTTGTAACAAGTTGGGCATAATCAATGTGTATGCTCTGGCTCGAGGGGGTGTTATGTGTATTATTTAAATAAAGAATCGTCTTTTAGGAAAGGATATATACTATCTCCAATTATTGATTAGGATTCGTATTTTCTTAGTTGTGTACATAAATAGAGCTCTTTATGCCCTTTGAATCATTGAGAAATACATAGCTTTCTTCTTACACTGAGAGAAACAAACAGTGTATGCATTCATAAAATGATGGGTATGGGCACCATTTAGGCCATCCCCAACACAAAAACTCATTTTCAAACCAATTTTGCAGTAACTGTCACATCAAACAATAATTCATCTCAAACCGAAAAACTCATTCACAAATCCAAAAGAATATTCTTGAAATATTGTCTTTCTCATCATCTTTTACAATTTTTCAATACTTTCCCCATATTTTACATCTTTACAAATAAGACACCACTATTATGTTATATTCAATTAAAAACTATGCAAAAAATTTAATTTAGATTGAATAATTTGCATAAATAAAAAATATCAAAATAAATGTTTATAAAATAAGAAATATTACTCTATTTATGTGGTTTACAATGTATTGTGTCTATAGTATTTATTTGATATTTTCTAATGTTTAAGTTTGATAATTTCAATATTTTCTTAATTTCTTATTTGATACCTAATTTTATTTTTATTATCAAATGTCTGGTTCTAGAATTCTATCCATAAATGTTTTCTCAAAATTCTTTTTATATTCTGAAATTACTTCAAATATATTTACAAATATTTTTGATATATCTTNTTATAATTATTATTCTCATTTATATTTATTAGAGGATAGAACAAAAGTAAAACCATATAGACATAAATATCTGTTTACTAAACAAATATTACCACATGAATAATAGAAGGACTTTTTCGAATATTTTTGTGTTTGTGTATTTTGCATAGGAGACGCTCTTAGCTTTGAAAATTATACCATTAAAATTTTACAGATTGCTAGACAATCCAGAATTAGATTAAACCACCACACACCAAACACCAAATATAACGCCAAATATAAGATTAAGCAATCACACATATGCAAACAGGTATGCAAACAAAATAAGAAAACAATAATTACCTTCGGAGATGGCAGATTGGATGTCAGCGCACTTGCGAACTACGGAAAGATCGTTGATGCCTTCCTCCTCCGAGATGAGAGATTCGGTAAACCCACTTTTCCCATCGGCGAAGTTGGATTTGCCGTCGGCAAGTTTCACCTTGGCCACCAGCAGCCATTGAAAGAGGGCGAAAGCTATGCCGACAACGGCACAAATTGGGATGAGAATTTCGGAGCCCAGATCTGGGAGCAGCGTACCCTCGCCCATTACTTTTGCTTTCTCGTATCTCTTCGAAAAACAAAAACACAAGTGATAAAAAAATGAAAGGATAAGTAGAAGAAGAAAATAAATATGAGGATGTGGGTGAAGATGAAGGTGAATGTGAAGCTCGAGGTGGAGGGGGGACAAGAGGAGTTATGGTGAAAGGTCCGGTTTGGAGGAATTTGGGGTGGTACAGTGGGCAGTGGGCGTGGGGGATAATTTTCAGGAACAAACAATTAAATATTCTGTGGTTTTTATTCACCCGTGTCTGGTGAGCTACCATTATTTTTAAGAATTTAGTGGCGTGTAAACTCGGAATTGGATATTATTCTTGATTATGGTCTATTTTACTTAAAATGATAGGAGTGGACAGTTTAATTCCATCAACTTCAAATGTCTTGTACCCAATATTTGTAAAATATGATATATTTTAAGGAAAGATAATCAAATTTTTATTAACTTAGATAAAATGATAGGATAAAAACCAAAAATATGAAGTGACATACTGACAGCAAAATATATTTATATGGCCTAAATCTAAAATTTGGTAGATTTCTAAGTGTAAAAGGGACATTTTTACAAGTCAGATTTTGGACAAAATGATCATTTTTAAGGTGGGATTTAAATGTACCACCCTCAAAGACCGGACAAAATAATTATGTCAATCGTGCATAAAAGTGTGGGACCTACAGGACACATTAGCTTATTATCCAATCCAATCATATTTAGTAAACATTGGATAACAGGAGTTATCCAACCTTATCCTATCATGTCAGCTAAAGTAAACGAGGTCTATAAGTAACAGTTTTGTATTGTATTATTTTACTTAATTAATATATATGGAAAAGATCAAAGGCGGCATCCTTTACGCCAACGTAGATTCGGAGAATGAGGTTGCAGTCTCAACATAAGAGGGTGATCTTAGCATCTACAATGCTTTGGATTCATTCCAAAAATATACAAGGCCACGTAGGAAATAAACTCACTCTAAAAAAATATATACGCCAATACAAGTGCAACTAGACTGAGTCTTGCTGATGCGGCAAGCAAAAAAAAAAGAGACTCAGTCTACCTTTAAGTCTATTTGAGAACTAAGTAGAGAGCCTTTTTTGCATTGGAGTTAATTTTGTTACTTTTATATATTTTTGTCTATATCATTCAAGACTAATGTCTATTACATACCACATAAGCAAAATTAGACCTAGTTACTTTTATATATTTTTGTCCATATTGATATATCTCTACCTATGAACTGGAGTCGAAGGGCGACCTGAGGTTTAAGAGAGACTTAAAGGAAAGGGAGACTTGAGGCAGTCTAGGCAAGACTTGAAGGAAAGGTCAACCTGAGGTCTAGGCGAGACTTAAAGGAAAGGGCAACCTGAGGTCTAGGCGAGAGTTGAAGGAAATGGCGACTTGAGGAGGTCTATGCCAGACCTGAATGAAAGGGCGACCTGAGAAGGTCTATGCGAGAAATGAAGGGGATATAACAATCGGTCTCCTATGGATAAATCAAATATGATTTGGATAGAGATAGGATCAAACCTCGGGCAGGCTGACTGAGGGCAATTCGGGCAGCTTGGGCAGGCTGACCGAGGTTAGTTCGGGAAGTTCGGGTAGGTATTTCCCCTGTAAAAGGGGGCTGAGGTATTACTCTACTTCTTCTCCACATTCTATATACTTTCCATACATTATAGCTTTTTTTAGAGATTGATATGAGATTCCATCTTCATGATACTGACTTATGTTAGTTTCTATAAGGAACGTCATCGATATGCACATCCAAATCTACTGGGGCCGGTCGATGCGCGTCGGGCGCTGGTGTACGAGTCACTTGTGCGTCGGATGCTGGCGTGCGGGTGGCTTGTGCGTCAGGCACTGGTGTGCGTCGTGCACTTCGGGCGTTGCGGGATTCTCGCTGGCCTGTACGGGTCGTCACTGAGTGGAGCGTGGTTGAATTGGCGTCAATAGGAACGGGTCGCGTTGGTCACTGGCCTGGGAGCTAGGCGTCTCTGGGAACTGACGTGGGTGGCCGAGAGCTGCTCGTGTTTGTTCTCGGTGATGGGTATATTTGTCGGGAACACAAAAAACTATATCTTATGATCTTTTGATGTATTAACTCTACACCTACTTCGAGTAGTCTTGGTGATTTGACTAAACGCAACTTTCGAAACCTCCTAGTATATTTTTCACTCGATTTTTCTCTGTTGGGGGACTAGAAATCGGATGACTCAAGTTTATAGGAGGTGTGAGGACTTGGTGTATTTATAGGCTACAACAGAGATCCTAAGGGAGTGCTAAATGTGGGCTTTTTCTAAATAGGGATAGAAAACCTTATGTCTTCCAACTCATTAAACTTCTAGAAGTCCTTGTGTCCTTCTGGTAATTGAACAACCGACCAAAGCCGAGCACCCGACCACCATCGGCCGCCCAACACTGCTGCAACACGACCCGCGTCCACCGGTGACACCATCTCTGCATCCCACGAGCTCTCAGTGCCCGTCCCGATGGCCTGCTACACCTGCTCGCGTCCAATCCCCGCTCGCCGAGACTAGCGTGTTCCCAGCTCCACGACATCGTTACCCGTGACTTTCTCGCGCCCGGTGATGACCCACTCTCAGCAACACCATGCAGACATGCATCTCCAGCGACCCACTCGACGCCACCCGACCTGTGAGGTCCTCCCCGGTACCCGTTTGCAACCCACTGCTCCCAACTGCATGCACGTGACCCGCAAAGCTCGGATGAGGCCAACAACGAAAATCTACAACGGACTCTGTGGTTCAGACGATCTCCAACAACGAAAATCTACAACGTCTCAGAGTCGGTAAAATATTAAACCATTGGTCTTCTACCTTAACCTATAGATTCGCTACACATAGGTTAATTGTAGATAAATTTGTAACTTGCATATTACTGGCGATCCATATATTCAAACAGATCCAAGGGCATTCCATCCGATTGAGGTCGTTTGCACACCAATTTTGATATGCGATTTTTACATTGCATATCATTTTGTGAGTTTTGAGGTGAAAAAGATGTTTTTTGATAGGATAGTGTGTAAAAGAAAATGCATGTATATATTGAGGTGTAGACGATGTCCGCTCTATAAATTATCTGGTCACTTTTGACGAGATTTTTTTTTAATTATAAATCTAACTCAAATTTATATCAATTCATCATGAACTTTAATTCAATATTTATCCTCTCACATAATTTTAACTACCCATCACTTTCATTCACCTCTCACATACTTTTATATGAAATCAATTTTAATCAATATATTTTAAATATTATTTTAATACAAACTCAAAATCCAATTCAAAACTAACTCAAACAATTTTTTTAAAATTAACTCTCGTTATCCAACGAATCCAAACAAATCCAAAATAACGTACATCCAGTCACCCCTTAATTTATATTTAAAAGTTTGATAAGCATTCCCAAAATAGTAAGAAAGTATTGAATAATATTTTTTTTTGCTTGCTAAGATATAAATTAAATATATATTATTCGCTAACACAATGGGAATGCTTGAACTCAGGATGATTGGGCCCCATTCACCTGGGGAAATAATAGAGAGGCAGGAGGATATGAAGAAGAGAAATTAGATAGGTTGTTTGGTTCCTTGAGTTGGATCTCTATCTATCTTAATGCTTCAGTTTATAATATTTTTAAGAGCTCTTCAGACCACAACCTTCTTCTGCTGGATTTCAACCAATGGTAGCATCACAAGAAGAAAGATTCATATTAACCACACCTTGGTTACCCTGATCCCCAAAATTCCAAACCCTGAACAAGTCTCCCACTTCAGAACAATTAGTCTTTGTAGTATAACTTACAAAATAATCTCTAAGTTGCTAGCAAAAGGACTAAAACCTTGTCTCCGTGTTTACATTAGTGAAAATCATGCTGCTTTTGGCCCCAACAGACAAATCATGGATAATGCGAATCTTTGTCCTGAAGTTATTCACTACCTGAATAGGCATATAAGTGGCACTAATTACTTTATGGCTCTTAAACTTGATATGGTAAAAGCTTTTGACAAAGTAGAATGGAAGAGTGTGAGTCAAATCATGATGAAATTGGGATTTAACTCCTGTTTTGTGAATTGAATTGTTTCTTGCATCTTTTCTGCTTCTTTCTCTTTTAATATCAATGGAGAATCTTGTGGTTTCGTTACCCCTACAAGAGGAATAAGACAAAGGAAGCCTCTGTTCCCCTATGTTTTCATTTTAATTTATGAAATTCTTACTCACCTCATCAAGCAAGAAACTCAAAAAAGGTAATCTGCAAGGTTTAAAGATCTACAAATCTGGCTCCAGTCCCTCCCATTTGTTGTTTGTAAATGACACTCTTATGTTTGCCAAAGCTGACCCAAACCAAGCCAGCACCCTAATCACCATCCTAGCAAATGATAAAAGAATCACTGGCCAGAAGGTTAACCTTACCAAGTCCTCTATTTTCTTCAGCAGAAATACACCTATCTCAATGCATAACTCAATCTGCAACATCCTTCTAGGCATAACCCCTCAAATATCCACTAGATATCTTAGGCCACCTCTGGGCATTGGGTATAGAAAAGTTGAAACTTTTTCCTTCATTATCCAGGCTGTTGAAAAAAGAATTTTAAACTGGAAGAATAGATATGTATCTACTGCTGGTAAAGAGGCTCTTTTGAAGGCAGTCCTTAGTGCCCTTCCTATTTATGCCATTATTTGCTTTATAATCCCAAAAGTTGTTAGTGCAAAAATTGCAAAACTATTTGCTACATTTTTGTGGACTACAAATAACTCTGTAAGCAAAAGACTACATTGGAGAGCATGGAACTTATTGACTCTGTCAAAAGACAAGGGAGGCATTGGTTATCATGATATCCAGCTGATGAGCAAGGCAATAATCACCAAACAACTCCGGAGGTTACTGACGCACCCAAACCTGTTGGTCATCAAGTGTATCTAGGCTAATACTTTCCAAAAGACAACTTCTTCACAGTCAAGCGTAAGCAGACATGCTCTTGGTTATGGCATAGTTGGTTCAAGGTGAGAGATTCCTTCCACAAAGGTATCTGATATGAAGTTAAAGATGGAAAAATCTGTCAAAATTTTGAGCACGCATATTCCCGATCTACCTAGTTTCATACCTAAGGCCAGTAGACACTCCATTAAATGTATCATATGGGTTAGGGATCTGATAGATGATATTGGCAGACATTGGAACAAGGAGCTTCTTCAGAACCTTTTCACTGAACAGGAGCAAGAAGCCATTATGAAGATTAAGAGTCTGAGGCCAAATAAAGGTGACAGATTGGTGTGGCATTGTGGGAAGAATAGAAAACCTTTTGTTGCTTCCTCTTATGATTTACATTGTCTCTGAAAAATGAAAAATGCTTGACTTAGCAGAATCAAGCAAAAGGCACTCTGAATCAAAGGGAGCAAGGAACATACTTTGGAAGTTGAAGGTTAAAGGGAAAGTCAAACATTTCATCACAAAATATCTAAACAATATCATTCCAGTCAACACCAACCTGTCAAAGAAAGGAGTGGAGATTGATCCTCTTTGTAAAGCTTGTGGAGAAGCCTCTGAATTAACAGAGCACATGTTCTTCAATTACGTAAAACTAGAAGAACCTGGGAGCTAGCACCTCTGAAATGGGATGGTTAACTCATTACACTGACAATATCAAGCATTGGTGGAATAAAGTTAGCTCAATTACACCCTCAGCCATTTTTGAAGCAAGATTGCAATTCCTTGCCTATTTGCTTTGATGTTTGTGAAAGACTAGAAACCTGTGGGTGTTCCAAAACACCTGAGACTTAATGTTGCTATGAAGGATTGGTTGGAGTTTGGCAGGGTTCGTGTTTGATCCTTGGTTGTTTCTGTTTGTTATTTTTAGTGTTGTCTTATGTTTTGTTATTTGTGCTTGAATTCTGTTTTTTTGTATGTTCTTGTGGATTAGGTTAGGATCTTTGACCAGTGGAAAATTCTCTTTTCCTTTTGGTCCTTAGTGCAAGAATAAATTCAAACCACGATCTCGATGCATTGGTCTTTTGTCGGTGGCAAAAATGCTTT